TTGCATCTACACTTGTCCTACTTCTTGCCCCTTGATGCCAGCCAACCTACATTTTGTCATTTGTTTATTCATGCCTCTTTGGTCATTTGGCAAATAAATAAAATATGTAAAAAGGCAACAATATTATTATATTTATGTTTATTTATACACCGCATCTTCTCTCTGTAAAGACGACAATGTAAAACTATAAAAAGAGCAACAATATAAAACCACAACAATGTGAAGCATTATATTACATAGCACCATAATAATAATAATAATAATAATAATAATAATAATTTTTATTTATTACCTGACTTTCCTTTTGGTTCAAGCCAGTGCACAATATTGACCTACAGATCTTGCCTATTGAAATCCAATACCCTTAGGATACAATATATATCATCTAAGGTAAAATTCTTTATCTAAAAGCCTCCCATAACTGTCAACTGCCATGTTGGAAATACATTAAGCTTGAATTTCAATGACTGCCAAGGAGAAAGGAAAAACCATTGAATTGGTGTCACACAGAATTTCTTTCTGAAACATTATTATGATGTAGGCTGGACAGAATGGCTTCCAAGAATCTGGATCTTGGTTTTGAATTCATATTTTGTCTCATGAATGCACCTCTCTCTCAAACTTGGGCCTTTAGAAATTGAGATGGTCATCATGGAGCGGTGTAAGTTGATTTCTGTCACGGAGCAAAACATCACGGATGAAGAAAAGAGCGCAGCTGCTTCGGGAATGTCCAACTGGAACAGGTACAAAGAGAGATTGGGGGTCTCTAGCAAGGTTTTTCCTATAGTTTGGCCCAGGCACAGGCAAGCTTTGGCCCCCCAGGTGTTTTGGACTTTCACATTTGGAATTGTGGGAGTGGAAGTCCAAAGCACCTGCAGGACCAAAGTTTGCCCATGCCTGGTTTGGCCTCACTTGTGGCAGATGTGCGTCTTCGAGTGGGTGCTGACTTGAGGCGACCTTTTAAGTTGCCCTATTGTGGGTTTTTCGTGTGTCTTCAGAGGAGGTTTGCGAAGACCTTTCCTCTGAGGCTGAGAGATTGTGGCTTTGCTCAGGGCCTTCTGAAACGCAGCCCCTGGTCCAACCTCAAGCCACAAGGCCACATTGGCTCTGCATGTGTCACACCAGCAACAGACAAACGTGAAACCCGTTTCCTGAATCTTGCTGTGGGCACATTGACCTGTCCTTGAACCAGCCAGGGTCGCTTTGAATTCCAACGTGTCCCAACTGGCATGCAGGGACACAGTTCCAGCAAGAACTGCAGGCCAAACTCTGAGCAAGCCGTCTCTCATTCGGAGTGAGGCAAGATACCATGCTCAGCACATTTCCAATGGAGGATGCATGGCTTTGGGAGTCATTGCATAGCAGGCACCAGCTTGCAGTATGGCTCACAACATGTTGGCATTTACAACACTACAAACATCTCCCTGATGGGGAAACACATGCCTTGTGCACGTTCCAACCTGACATGCCTTCAAGGAAGGCCTCCCAAAAAGCACCGCATCCCATCTTGGTGCCAGACTTCTGGCTGTAACATTTCAGTTTCCTTTCTGTGTTTGGACTCCATGTTAATTGTCAACAATGATAAATGCCAGGATGCCAGCAAAGGGACTTACCGGGGTTTTGTTCCTCTTTTTCCCAGGCCTTTCCTCGAGATGGTCTATAATGCCCTGGAATGCGCCGAGTTTGACTACTACGCCCTGTTTGTGCTCTGCCTCCTCTACGCCATGTCCCACAACAAAGGTAACGCATGGCCCTTTGGAGGACCCTGACAAGGCCTTTCCTCTGAGACTGAGCCCATAGGTTTGGCTTCCGAGAACTAACCACAGGTGGCCCGACTTAGCTTCCAAAAATCAACCAGGACCTGTTTTGAGGGTATTTATGTGGAGTCAAAAACAAGTGAAATAATAATAATAATAAAGCTTTATTTATACCCCACTCCATTTCTCCCAGGGGGACTCGGTGCGGCTTACATGAGACCATACCCATCAATACAATACAAGCTATAATATAAATACAACAAAACATGCAAAATACATAAAATGCAAAATTGAAATAATATACAACACAGCAATATCAAATCAAGCATTAAAAACACAGGAAATTTCACTAGGTAGGGCCAGATGCATTGATAAAATTATAGAAAATATTTAAAACACTGGTAGATAGATCAGAGTAACTTATAAGGAGGAGACTCCAGGAATGAGGAAGGATTTCATTGCACAACCCATAAAGTAAAGTGCGTCTAAGGACATTTTGTGCAAAGTGCGGTCAGGGAGAATCTTTCATTCAATCACTGAAGGCACATTGGAATAACCAGGTTTTCAAATTCCTCCTMAAGATTGCCAGTGTGGYGGCTTGTCTAATGTCTCTGGAAAGTGAGTTCCAGAGCCGGGGAGCCACCGCAGAGAAGGCCRTCTCTCTCGTCCCTGCAAGTCGCACTTGCGATGTGGAGGGGTAGGGGTAGGGGTAGGGGTGGGGGTGGGAGTAAAAGAAGGGCCTCTACAMAAGATCGAAGGGATCGTGTGGGTTCGTAGATGGAAATACAGTCACGCAGGTAGGAGGGTCCCAAACCGTTCAGGGCTTTGTAGGTCAAGACCTGCACCTTGAATTGGGCCCGGTAGATAAACGGCAGCCAGTGGAGCTCCTTAAACAGGAGGGTTGACCGCTCTCTGTAAATTCGCTCCAGTTAATAGTCTGGCTGCTGCCCGTTGGACCAGTTGGAGTTTCCAGGCCATCTTCAAGGGTAGCCCCACGTAGAGAGCATTGCAATAGTCCAATCTAGAGGTAATTAAGGCGTGGACCACTGTGGCCAAATCCGACTTCACGAGGTACGGAAAGTTGGTGCTGATCCTAAATCAGGGGTGAGCAAATTCCAGCTCATAAGCCATATGCATCCCCTGAACCCCAACTTGAAAATCTCCCAAAAACTATGTGATTTCCTTCCAAGTTTGCTCAGAAAGCACTCTTAAACTTGGGGGGCAGAAAGGGAACAGAATTGGCAGAAAATGCCCACTCTTCCCGAGCTCTCCCCTCCTGTACTCAGTCTTTGTGGGTGTTTCCGCCATCCATTCTTTTCAGCGTGCTCTGCAAATGACGCTTTTTTGGAAGACGCGGGCTTCTCCTCCATGAGGGCATCCAGGGGGTGATACAAGCCGAGCACTTAATGGATTGCTTCCAGGAAATCGAAGCAGATGCGGCTCCAGGGCAATAATTTTTGGTGGCAGCGAAGTGGTGGCAGGGGAAGACCCTTCGCTTCTGTCATCCTGATGAATCCCACTTTGGACTTTTGGGAGCAAAGGCCTTCTGAAATATCTCCTTTGGGTGTCATTTGAAATATGGACTCAGAAAGTTTTAAAAAATGGACGGAGTTTTATTGCAAATGTTTCCAAGTCAGCATCAAATTGCAAATGGTGCTATTTTGTGCAACAGCTGCTTGTCTATAAAATCTGCCCTCTGCTTTTCACTTCTCTTCGCCCACTTCTGGTTTAGCTAGAGGTGCTCCTTTTTTGGAAAGTTGCCTTCCTTTCTCCTTTGACCTCTGGTTCTTCAGAATAATTACCCGCTAAGTGCGGAGCTTCATGATAAATAAATGAGTACAGAATAACCTCTGAATCAGATTAGCAGTTCCTGGGAACTCAGGCATTCTCTTTGAACTTGCATATTATTTGCACAAGCCCCGGCTCTAGGCAAAACACGGGATGTTCCTCAGACATAATGGGAGGCGTGATCCAGTCCTATTAAATGCTAGCATTGCCTCTTTTATCTGAACAGCTTTTCTTTAATTAAACCGTTTTCAGAAGCCTCCTTAAAAACCAGGCCTCTCTCATTTGCAGGGAGAAGAGATCAGAAGTCGTGTTACGGGAAAGGCTTTCACTTCCAAGAGTCCAGGGTTTGGCAGATGGAGGAGGCCAGAGCCAGCTGTTTAGTAGCCATTACATAGAAACATTCCTTTGGCAGAATTAGGAATAGAAACATTGCAAAAGACCCCATGCATAGCAGGATATTTGGAACCAACGGCTTCTGAGAAATAGCCTCTCTTTTGTTACAGGAACAAGTTCATTGTGTGCCATGGCTTTAAACTGCTCAGTTGTTCCTTTCGCTTTCTGCTCCCTTCTTCGATCCAGTTATCACATTTGGGCCCAAATTCAGGAGATTGAGTCATTGAACCAAGCTGCAACCTTTGTGCATAAAGGAGGCTGTGAGGCCAAAATCATGGGCAGGGCTGCAGAGGGAAATCTTTCTTGGGCAACTGGCAAACCCCAAAGTCCGTTTTATGGGTACAGTCCCAAATTATATATATATTTGTCCTTCTTTAGGGGTCCCTTTGAAATCTATGATACTATATCTGAGTGTGTGTGAATCATATATCTATATCTATGGCTGGATGGCTCTTTGTCAGGAGGGCTTTGATTATGTTTTCTTGCCCTGGTGAAGGGTGTTGGACTGAATGGCCTTAAGTATTTTCTGTTGGTCATGGAGGTTCTGTGTGGGAAGTTTGCCCCAATTCTGTCGTTCGTTGGATTCAGAATGCTCTTTGATTGTAGGTAACTACAACTCCCAATTTTCAAGGTCTATTTCCCCCAAACTCCATCTGTGTTCCTATTTGGGTATATTGAATATTTGTGCCAAGTTTGATCCAAATCCATCATTGTTTGAGTCCACAGTGCTCTCTGGATGTAGGTGAACTACAACTCTCAAAGTCAAAGTCAGTGCCCACCAAATCCTTCTAGTGTTTTCTGTTGGTCATGGGAGTCCTGTGTGCCATGTCTGGTTCAATTCCATCTTTGGTGGAATTTAGAGTGCTCTTTAATTGTAGGTGAACTATAAATCCCAGCAACTACAACTCCCAAATGACTAAATCGATTTTTTGAGTGATGGTCACTCCTTGGGTTAGTAGGTGTCTTGTGTCCAAATTTGGTTTCAATTCATCCAGTAGTTTTTGAGTTATGTTAATCCCACAAACGAACATTACATTTTTATTTATATAAATATGTATAAGCACAGAAGATTACTGTATATACTCAAGTATAAGCCGACCTAAATATAAGCCGAGCCACATTATTTTACCACAAAAAACTGGGAAAACTTATTGACTTGAGTATAAGCTGAAAATAGGAAATGCAGCAGCTACTGGAAAAATTCAAAATAAAAATAGATAACAATAATATTACATTAATTGGGGCAATAGTAGGTCAAAGTTTAGAATATTTACCATATTTCAGAGAAAAGCAGTAAACTAGCTCTGTAAGTGGAAAAGTAAGGTCAACAAAAACAATATAGTATTAACAATAACTTAATAATAATAATAATAATAATAATAATTTCATTTTATTATTATACTATCGCCCTATGGGGACTCAGACAGGCTTCCAACATTGTATCAGGCAAACATTCAATCCCTATGTTAACAATGCAGAGCTAGATACAGATGTATAATTATGTATATTAATTTAACATATGCATTTCCCCCTGAAACATTTGCAAATCCTCTCCCTTTATATGTGAATTTCCCTCATGCAATATTTGCAAGCCTTATATTTGAGTCCCACTCCGGGAGTGAGAAGAGTGGGGTATAAGTACAGTAAACAAATAAATATCTGTTTCTATCTATCAAGACATCTCTGTGCGTGTGTGTGTGTGTGCATTTCCCCTGTAATATTTGCAAGCCCTATATATCTATATTCATATCTATCTAGACATGTCTCTGTATGTTTGTGTGTGCATTTCCCCTGTAATATTTGCAAGCCCTTTATATCTAGATTCATATATATCTGTGTAGACATCTCTTTATATGTAGATAATTATATCTATACAGAATTTGCAAAGACTTGCAAACATGTGATGAGAAAATTCATACATAAAATTATATATATATATATTTATATATATATATACACACACATACATACATCCATACACTACACACACACACACACATATATATACACTGAGAGATATACAGATATATAGGTACCTCTATATATTTATTGATATCTATATTTAGGATTTGCAGCAACTTGCAAACATGTAAGGGGAAAATTCATATGTAAAAATAATGTATACATGTGGATACAGGTACATGGGAATCTCTAGACATCTATATGTATATAGGATTTGCAAAGACCTGCAAGTATATGAGAGAAAAATTCATATATAAAATTAATGTATATAGATAGATAGATAGATAGATAGATAGATAGATAGATAGATAGATAGAGACAGATGATATATAGGTACATACGGATTGCAAAGGCTTGCAGGGGGAAATGCCTATATATCTGTAGGAGATATTAACAAATATTTCAGAGGAAAATGCTTTTATAAGATTAATGGATATTTCTGACTTGCAAGGGCTTCTCTCCCTCTTGAACGAGCGAGCGAGGATTTGGAAAGAAAACACACTGTTAAGGGAGAGGAAGAGGAGAGAGAAATATATCATATTGCAAGCAATGGCTTCCAGGCTCTGTTGCATGGCTTGACCTCATTATAAGCCGAGGGAGGCTTTTTCCACCCCAAAAAGGCTAAAAACTTGGCTTATCTTTAAGTATATATGGTAGTTTAAAGTAAGGGACAAAGTCCTGTAAATGGTTAAAGATTATATCTGTACATCGATCAAAAAAGATACTACAAAGTGGAAGGAATTGGACAGGATCCTGAATTGTATCATTCAGTGCAATAATTCGGGAAGGCCCATATGCCTTTGCATTCCCTATCAGAAAGTAACCAACACCTTTGAAACATGCCCTTGGAGTTCTACAAATTTCATGGAGTGATAAAATATCAAATAAAAACTCTTGAACTTTCCCTAAAACGATTGATGGAGGCTGGTATGTAACACATCACAAGGCCACATAACTACATCATGCTGAGAGACGCAGAAGGCAGTCAGAAAAACAAATTCTGAGATTTGAGAATGTTGGATTATGGAATTGTTCCCAACCTTTTGACAAGGAACACCTTTCAGCTTTGCTTCTCCTTCTCAACCTCTTCCGTCTGCATCCTCCTCTCTTGTCCATTCTCTTTTAAAGAGAATTAATGGGCGTCTCTCTTTCTTCTTGGCCTCCTTTTGCAGATGTCTGGGTGGGTGGCTGCAGAGCAAAGTGGGCCCTTTCCTTTGCCTTTGGCTCGGTTCATGTCCGGCCAAACCGGCCCCAAGGTCCAATAAACGCTCCTTCCTTCCTTTGCAGGAATCCAGCCCGTCACTTTGGAACGGATCCAGCTGTCGGCCGAAGGGGCAGAAGAGAAGAACACCTACAACCCCGTTCTGGCAGAAAGGATCATCCGGATCATGAACTTTGCTGCGCAGCCAGGTGAGGAGGAGTGTCGCCTGGGAAGCGCTGGGATCTGGCCTAAAACAGGTGGAAAGGCCAGGCTCTGTTCTGAAATGGAGAGAAAGACAGCAGATATTTTGCTTACCTCCTGACCTTAAAGCAATTCATGGCAATAAAAGCATAGAGAGGGAAGCCGGAGACTGAGTGGTCAGAAAACAATAATCGCAAAGTGTTGTTGTCGGCAGAATTGGAGAACCAGGGCAGTGGCTGGCAGGCCCTTGAAGTAAGGAATCCTTTTGGGGAAATGGAAGAGAGCTCGAATATTTTTGACCAATGCTGCAGAAATCTCCCAAATAAGTCCACAAAAGTTCCCAGGATCATACCATCATGGGGTGGGAAGGGGCCCAAGGGCCATCCAGACCAACTCCATTGTGCCAGGTGGGAAGACACAACCCAAGCCCTCCTGACAGATAGCCATTGAGCCTCTGCTTAATAATAGTAATAGAACTATAGAATCCTACAGCTGGAAGAGTACCCTAGGGCCATCCAGTCCAACCCCATTCTGCCATAAAGATACCATCAAAGCCTTCCTGGCAGATGGTCTTCCAAAGTCTCTGCTTAATAATAATAGAACTCTATAATCCTAGAACTGGAAGAGACTCAAAGGCCATCCAGTCCAACCCAATTCCGCCATAAAATACCATCAAAGCCCTCCCGACAAATGGCCATCCAGCCTCTGCTTAATACAAATAGGACTCTAGAATCCTAGAGCTGGAAGAGACTCTAAAGGCCATTCAGTCCAACCCCATTATGCCATAAAATACCATCAAAGCCCTCCCGACAAATGGCCATCCAGCCTCTACTTAATAATAATAGAACTCTAGAATCCTGGAGTTGGAAGAGATCCCAAGGGCCATCCAGTCCAATCCCCTTTTGCCAGGAAGGAAGACATATTTCAAGCCCCCGACTCAAGAGATGGTCATCCAGCCTCTTCTAGACAGCCTCCAGAGAAGGAGACTCCATTCCACTGTTGCACAGCTTTAGCCACCAGAAAGGTTTCCCTTGTGTTGAAATGGAATCCCTTTTCTTCCCATTTGAATCCATTGCTCTGTTTTGTCCCCTCAGTCGGACATCCTTTCAAAGATGTAAATATGGCCTCCGTGTCCCCTTCGGTCAGCCTTCTCTGCTCCAAACGAAACATCCCCATCTCCCTCCACTGCTTCTCAGAGAGTTTCATAGTATCCAGACATTTCTTTATGCTTGTGGGTAAACAGTATTTCTTGCTGTGTCTTTGTCAGTGTTGAGGTGGAGATTGTTTAGTTTGCCTACTCTGGAACATGCAACATATAATTGTCCTTCTTTAGGGGTCCCATTCAAATCTATGATACTATATCTCTGTGTGTGAATCATATATATCTATCTATATTATGCTTGTGGGTCACCCTTTTTTGGACACCTTCCCACCTGTCCGTCTCCTTTTTGAATGTCTTTTGGCCAGAAATGGACGCAGAGTTGTTATTCCAGGTGAGAAGGTCTGACCAAAACAGAACAGAATGAGATTAGGACTTTCCTCAATCTGGAGACTTGACTCCTGTGGATGCAGCCTAGGATCGCCTTGGCCTTTTTAGCTGCCACATCCTTCCTTTCGCCTTCCTTACAGATGGCAAGATCCGCTTGGCCACCTTGGAACTGGGCTGCATCCTGCTCAAGCAGCTGGTGATGACCAAAGCCCGGAGCATCATCAAGGACATTCACCTCGCCTGTCTGGAAGTGAGTCTTCCTTTTAGCTCTGTGGAAGATTGGGATCCCTCTGATTTTCAGACTTCAGGTTCAAATCTCTGTTCTTCTGTGGGAACCCACTGGGCTTTGAGTCAAACTCTCTCAGCCTCAGAGGAAGGCCCTGGATGTCAAACCCCTCTGAACGGACCTTGGAAGGAAATCCCACGATAGGTTTGCCTTAGTCTGGAATGGAGGGCAACCCAATTGAATTTCATAATTAAAGGGCTTAGTCTTTGAGATGATCATTGGAAATAGTCATAAATATTATATAACCTTCATCTACAGATAACAAGCTTGAAATAATAACTGAATTTTCTTTTTTTCCCATTTAGGGTGCGAGGGAAGAAAGTGTCCACTTGGTGCGGCGTTTTTACAAGGTATTTATTCCATTCCTCCTTTCCCTCGCTTTATGAAACAGAACTTGTCATACAACTTGAAAAGCTGCATTCCTACTTGTTGCTTTCAGGTTCAGGGCAATTTCTTTCTGCCGAGAAGCTAAACAGTCTCCTTCCCAAGTATACATTTCCCCATAAAGTTCAGATATAAATATCATGGCCTGTTTGCCTGTAAAAGATAGTTCCCCATCGTCCAATAAAACTCAAATAAATGGTCTCTGTTGGGGTCATCCCTTGTTTTGGCCAAAGGTTTCGCTTGCAGAATGGAGAAGAGTGCAATGTGAGACGGGTTTCAGACCCTCTTTTTAATGGGAGATAAAAAGCTTGGCTGGTTTAAGAATCCTGATGGCAGGGGGAGGGGAAAATCTCACATATGTCTCCTTTTCTTTAAAGGGAGAAGAGATTTTTCTGGATATGTTTGAAGATGAATACAGAAGCATGACAGTAAGTCATTAGTCAACGGCTCGGTGGGCAAACAGAAAAGGGAGTAGCTACTCATCTTTGAATTGCAAAAATAATAAATAGTAGGACTAACTGCTTGGGAAATTATACAAATTATTATTATTATTACTATTATTTCTTACCCACTTCTCGCTGCTCAAGGCAGAACATAAAATAGTCAAAAACTCTTATTCATAATGCTTTTTGGAAAACGCATACTGTATATACTCGAGTACAAGCTAAATTTCTCACCTTTGGTTTATACTCGAGTCAATACGTTTTTGTAGTTTTTTGTGGTAAAATTACGTGTCTTGGCTTATATTCGGGTCAGCTTATAGAGTATAGATGGTATATTGAATTTCTATGAAATACCTAGATTAAAATACACAGGACAAAGATTAAAATATAGTAAACACAAGGATGTCCTGTCACTAATCTGTCATGTTAGTATTATTAATATTAATATATAATAATAATATATTTGATTTTACCCCGCCACCATCTCCCAAAGGAACTCGGGGCGGCTAACAAAGCATTCCAAAGTGCCGCACATAAAATAAATAAATGATTACATAGACATAAAAGCAATAGAAACATGAGCAGACATCCATATAATAATTAAAATACCCAGAACAATTATTAAAACGCAGTAAACACCAGAACATCTGTCCCAACTCTGTCATGTTCATATATATATATATATATATATATATATATATATATATATATATATATATAGACACACACACACGCATACACACACACAGAGATATATACATACACATACACACACATATATACATATAAATAATTTTGTTACCATATTTATACCCCGCCCTTCTCACCCTGTAAGGCGGCTTACATATATAGGCAGCAATTTGATGCCATATGGACATACATAGTAAAATAAATATATACATTAAAACGTGGACATGAATTTCACATTCATAGTTAAACACTGACTGGACTGACCTGTCAAGAAGCCAATTTAGTGGTTTGAAGAGACCAGACTGTCAAAATATTTGGCCTCTATAGCAGAATATGGTGCACCTTAGCCAATGCTATATATGAGCTTATGGTTGGAAACAGAAGAGGTAATACACACAGTCAGGCTTAGAAGGGGCCCAAAACTTACTTTTATTGTCGTAATACAGATAAGAGAATAGATAGAGAAAAGAAAATGACCTAACTTTGGTGGAAGAGTCCCTCATGCTGATTCTCCTGTCTGTGATTAAGAGAGAGGCCTCATGATGTTCTCTTCCCCACCAAAGGAGGATAATAAACCACTTTAGGGAAGAAGGGGGAAGTGAGCACATCATGCAGACAGGAAGTAGTAAAACTCATTGAGTTCCATAGAAGAAACAGGTGAAAATTAGGCAGCAGGCCTGTGTCCCAGGCTTTCCTCTGTCCCCAATTGCTCTGTATGCAAGCACTTCATGGGAAGGTCGAAAGAAACACGGGGCTTCTCCTTCTGGGGTGATGGGAAGATGTCTAAGGACAGGGCTCTGTTCTGCCCTTTGAAGAGACTGACTGAAGGCCCGCATGCTTTTCCCAGCTGAAACCTATGAATGTGGAGTACCTGATGATGGACGCCTCCATCCTTCTGCCACCCACCGGGACACCCCTCACCGGTATCGACTTTGTGAAGCGGCTGCCCTGTGGAGACGTCGAGCGAACGCGGAGGGTGGGTAGTATTGTATTGACTCTAGGCTCTGAGGCGCAACTCCCTTTCCAGAACTCTGAAACCAAAGAAAGTATAGGCAGCCCCCAAGTTGTGAACAAGAGGGGTTTTGTAGGTTTGCTCTTAATTTGAATTTGTTTGCAAGTCAGAACAGGTACATAGTTTAAGTGCAACTCCAGCCAATAATAGATTTATTTATTTATCATGTCAGGAGCGAATCAAAGGTACAGTTATAGTGTATTTAAAAAAAACACAAAGTTTAAAAACTTGGCAATTATATTAAATGTCCTTTGACCAGTCGCTGACCATTTGGAGTGCCTCTGGGATTGCCATAAGGAGGTTCTCCATTGTGCATTTGGCAAGGCTCAGGCTGCATTATAATCGGTGGTCTGTGGTTTGCTCTTCTCCACACTCACATATCGTGGACTCCACTTTGTGGCCCCATTTCTTAAGGTTGGCTCTGCATCTTGTGGTGCCAGAGTACAGTCTGTTCAGCACCTTCCAAGTCAGCCAGTCTTCTGTGTGCCCAGGAGGGAGTCTCTCATTTGGTATCAGCCATGGGTGGAGGTTCCGGGTTTTAGCCTGCCACTTTTGGACTCTCACTTGCTGAGGTGTTCTTGCAAGTATCTCTGTAGATCTTAGGAAGCTATTTCTTGATTTAAGGCATTGCCATGCTGGCTGATATCTGAACAAGGGGTGGGCCAGAGATGTCACTACCTTGGTCCTTTCATTATTGGCTGCTACTTCCCATCGGCCAGCAGCGAACAGAAGGATAGATTGATTGATAGATATACACAGGCAGTCCCGAAGTTATGAACAAGAGGGGTTATCGAGGTTTGTTCTTAAGCTGAATTTGTATGTAAGCTAGAAAAAGAACATTTTTTCAGTGTAACTCTAGCCAAAAATATATACAGTAGAGTCTTGCTTATCCAGCCTTCACTCATCCAACATTCTGTATTATCCAACACATTCTGCCTGGATCCACAGCTGTTTCAATACATTGCAGTGTTTTGGTGCTAAATTTGTAAATACAGTAATTACTACATAATGTTACCGTTTATTGAACTGCTTTTTCTGTCGATTTGTTGTAAAATCATAACATAATTTGACGTTTAATAGGCTTTTCCTTAATCCCTCCTTATTATCCAACATTTTCGCTTATCCAACGTTCTGACAGCCCATTTATGGTGGATAAGCAAGACTCTACTGTATTAGCTTTGAATAGCATACGGAAGGGTGAACACCCCTGTGGAGTTTGTTTATTCTTCCTGGCCCTGACAACTGGATTTAGCCCCATGCTTTTGAAAGCCTGACACAACAGATTTTTTATAGTATAACTTTTGAAAGGTTTCACAATTTGCTGGATGTATTGTGAAAGTGTTATCAGATGCAAATCTGGGTCCTTTCTTTACTTCAGTTAGACTTCGAAATGCCTCTCTAACTGCCATTTCCTTTTCCAAATGAGCATTGCTTAACTTAAAGCAGTGGTTCCCAATCTTGTTTTGACCAGGGACCACTTGACCAGAGACCACTTTGACTAGTGACCACTCTCTAACATTAGTACCCAAAGGGTTACGAATCGGTTTTTGATCAACTTTAGATTCAGTTTGGTTGTTTGGGGCGCTGATTCAGAAAATTGCATTGGATAGACCACATCAGCTCTAGTTTCTGATACAGAACATATGCCATCCAGTAGTCGCCATCTGCTTGCCCACAGAAAACCATATTTAACAATCTAGAGCTGAGGTGGTCGTAGTAATCTTTCATGAGTAGTCAGCCTCTCCCCTCCTGACATCCCATTGCCTCAGCACTAAGAGGGTTTCACAAGGCCAGTCACTCTCGTTGCCACATGGTTTCAAGGCAACAGTGTGATAATGGTGAGGCTGTGGAACATATTTTTGCTATTGTGGACCACTGGTGATCCACAGACCACAGGTTGGGACCTACAGACCTAAAGAAACCAAGAAGTAGGTGCAGGAGTCTGGGTAACTCTTAATCATCTTAACAATTATGACATTATAATATTATTATATTACAGGAAGTCCCCAAGTTACAAACAAGATTGGTTCTGTAACATGTGTGTGTGTGTGTGTATGTTTTGGATGGCATAATGAAGGGTTAGCACCCTGAGAGGTTTGCTTTGCTGTCTGCGCTTCTGTTCAGAACTTTCCAAGTCACTTTCTGTTCCTGTGATAATTGGATTTTGGAAAATTTGGCTTGTTTAGAAACAAGGATTGGTGATAAATCGTCAGTGGAGACCCCTTTCCCCCGTGATAATAACTCTTCCAGGAGTGGATTTCCCTTCCTTCCAAGGGGAAGATTCCTTTCACTTCCTGTTGTCTCAGCCCTGTTCTTAACTAGGAGTCATTTGTAAGTCAGATATTTGTAGCTCAGATATGGCCAGTCGCTGTGGCTAAACCCATCTTTTCTTTAGAAACTGGCACAAAAAATAGCTGGTTAAAAAGAAAAGCCAATGTGCTGCAAAACACTTCTCGGGATGTGGTTTGTGGCTCTCAAAAGATAAGCAAAAGCGATAAGTCTGACCCAAAGCTGCTTCTTGAACGAATCGCAGAGAAGCTTCCCTGGAATGCAGCCGTCACTTTTAGATGCAGAAGGAAGAATGAGCATGCCCATTCAAAGTCACAAGTCCTGAAGCTTCTGCCATTCGGAGAGCTTCTCTGCATCTTTCGCAATCATTGGATCGACCTCTCGAAGCTATCGCTTCCCTTCTAGGAAACCAGAAACACTCCCATTTCCTTTCCTAGAAATTTGAGTCTGAGCAAACCCTCGAGATAAGAGGGGAACCACTGTACTATGAAAAACAGTCATGATAAACAGGGCTTCCAAGAATGTTCTGCTGATCGAGAAACCAAAGGATAACCCTTCATGATAAATGGCAATATGTCATCCCTTCCACGAAAGGAACGCAGCCAAGAATGGTTTTTATTCAGAGGCTTTGTGGCTGTCAGAACAGACCCCAAATCCCTGCTCTGTTGGTCTCAGAAGCTGAGAAGAGCCTGGTTTGATTGGCCCCCATATGGGAGGCCACCAAGGAAGACGTCTTCTCTGAAAGAAACCCCGGGAAGCAGAAAACTGCCTCACCGGTTGATCCCAAATCTAGTTCAAAGCAGATCACTATGTAACACAATTTTTGTTCCTGGGGTGTAAACATCATTTCCTAATTGGTTCTATCATAAAAACATGGGAAATGTCATTAAACTACAAAAACATTATCTTTGCGGGAGGGACATCCTGAAGCACATTTTGGTTGAGACGCAATGAATATCTCAACCAATTCCACAAAGTTTCTGGAGTGGAACAACTACTTTCACAGTAAATACTGCACAATTGAACATGTAGCAATACTGTGTATACTCAAATATAAGCCTAATTTTCAGCCCTTTTTTTAGGCTGAGAAAGCTCCCCTCGGCTTATACTCGGATGAAGGTCCTTGCAGGAAGTCGTGGGGCCTGAAAGAAGATCTTCTTTCAGCCCCATGCCTTCCTGCCAGGACCCTCAACTCGCCGCATAGCAACCCAGCTCTCCTTCCTCTCCTCTCACACAGCGCACACAGTGCCTTCCTCTCCTCCTCTCTCGACTCCAGTCTTTCCCACTTTTCCTTATTCATATACACAAAACATTTCCCCCAAAATGTATGGTTTAAATAAACTATGGATATTATTGGAAGGCTACGTAAGCACAGTTATCTTGAAGAAGGTTAGACTAATGATTTAATCAGAATTGATCTTATCTTAAATTACAGTTTTATATAAATATTCAAAAATATTTAACCTGTTGATGCCTCAATTAATGTATTGTTATTGGTATCTATTTTTATTTTGAAATTTACCAGTAGCTGCTGCATTTCCCACCCTCGGCTCATACTCGAGTCTATAAGTTTTCCCAGTTTTTTGTGGTAAAATTAAGTGCCTTGGCTTATACTCAAGTACATATAGTACTTTCAAACCAGGAACAGACCATTTTTCAAATTTTGCTACATAGTGTTATAAATATAATTTTACGTAGAGGTAGTAACTCAATAAGAGAGTTTAAATTATTAAAAATCTATATAAATGGGTGTCTATTTGTCTACATATTTTTTTTCTTTTTGTGTTTTATTGTTGATATGGTCAATGGACTAATCAATAAACATTATCTATATAAATCCCTGCTCACATAAGGAGCTTTCATAAGGAAGAAGGAACAGACTTCCTTTCTGCTGCTGCCCTAGAAACTAGGACTTAATGGAGCCATGGATTCAAAGGACAGAAAAGATTCCATCTGAACATTAGGAAGAACTTCCTGAGCTGTTTAATAGTAGAACTCTCTGCTTCAAGAGTGTGGAGGAGCCTTCCTTGGAGGCTTTGAAACAGAGGCTGGAAGATGTGCTCTCAAAGGCTTTCATGGCCGGAATCACTGGGTTGTTGTGTGTTTTCGGGCTGTCTGGCCATGTTCCAGAAGCATTCTCTCCTGACCTTTCACCTACATCTATGGCAGGCATCCTCAGAGGTTGTGAGGTCTTTTGGAAACTAGGCAAGTGGTGTTTATATATCTGTAGAATGTCCAGGGTGGGAGAAAGAACTCTTGTCTGCTTGAGGCAAGTGTGAATGTTGCCATTGGCCACCTTGATTAGCATTGAATGGCCTTGCAGCTTCATATCCTGGCTGGTTGCAGCCTGAGGGAATCCTTTGTTAGTAGGTGTTAGCTGGCCCTGACTAATTCTTGTCTGGAATTCCCCTGCTTTTTTGAGTGCTGTTCTTTATTTACTGTCCTGATTTTAGAGGGMTTTTTTTTTAATACCAGCCAGATTTTGTTTTTGTTTTTTTCATGGTTTCCTCCTTTCTGTTGAAGTTGTCCACATTCTTGTGGATTTCAATGGCTTCTCTGTGTAGTCTGACATGGTGGATGTTAGCGTGGTTCAGCATTTCTGTGTTCTCAAATTATATGCTAGGTCCAAGTTGGTTCACCAGGTGCTCTGCTGTGGCTGACTTCTCAAATTGTAATAGTGCCGAAGGCCATCTGTTGTGGGGGCTTTGATTGTACTTTTCCTGCCTGAAGTCAGAAGGTGGTTGGACTGGATGTCCCTTAGGGATCCCTTCCAACTCTGATTCTGATATGCTATGAGCTCTCTCCTTTGTGTTTCCAGGCCATCCGGGTCTTCTTCATGCTGCGCTCCCTCTCCCTGCATCTTCAGGACGAGCCAGAGACGCAGCTGCCTTTGACGAGGGAAGAGGACTTGATTAAGACAGACGACGTTCTGGACCTGAGTGAGTTCCGCAGCCCAAAGGCTTTCCTGTCCCCCCAAAAGTCCTTACATAGCATTGCAAAGATTGGAGAAGCAGGATTAAAAACACTAGCAAGTGTAACTTTTGGGTGTACAACAAGGCCGTGGGGCTTTGCTTCCAGACCCCAAATCTCTAGCTTTGCTGAGACTCCCAAAATAATGCATTATTTCCTTAGCCACTTTGCCTGCCTTTTTATTTTTGGAGCCTAAGATGGATTTCCAGTCACTTGACTATAGTTTTAAGTCCTGGAAATGTTGGTAATAGAAGCAAAATTTGGTAGTTTTCAGGGAGAGTACAGAATAATTAGCGTGTGTTGCCCTCGTTTTTATCCCAAAGGACTCCAGCAAATCGCCTAGTAATAACACTATGTAACAGAATTTTTGTTCCTGGATTATAAATGTCATTTCCTAATTGGTTCTATCATAAAAACATGGAGAAGGTATATGAAACTGCCAAAACTTTGTTTGTGCAGGAGGGACATCCCGCAGCACATTTTGCTATAGTTTTTCAATGAATAGCTCATTGAGTCTCAGCCAATTGCAGCCTAGTTTGTGACAGCCACAAAACAAGGTTTCTGGAGTAGAACAACTACTTTCAAAGGAAGGACCACACAATTAAACAGGAAATAACACTTTCAAACCAGGCACATTACATTTTGCAAACTTTGTTACCTAGTGTTATCAAAGAAGCACTTACGAGAATTCTACTTTTCATAGAATTCCACCAATAGCCTTAGTAAGAATTCAAAACAGAAAAGCAAGGCCTGGTTCTTCCTTTTCAGATAATTAGTCGAGCAATTCAGGGCTCATTTCCTGTTTTTGTTGACGTTATTTTCAGTTTTTTGGAGGTAGAAACAAGCCCCCCTTGCCCACAGTTGCACTGACTGGAACTCAAGACTCCCAAAATAGCCATATATTCTGGTAATAAATAATTGGCATCTGCTAGGAAACACAGCGCCCATGTTTCCATCTGGCCAAGCGCTGTTTGTATTAATAGGAGAAATGTCAGCCATATTTACTGTAACCATTTTATAGAAATGTACTGCAATGTGCGATGACTGTCAGAGGCAGTGAATCCGTTTGTCTGACTGGAGACCTGGTGCAAATGCTCTCAGGGTCATCCCAAAGAGGCATAAAAACAACAATGACAGCAGTACATTTGTATTTATTACCTGGCTCTCCTTTTGGAGCAATCTATAAAAGCACATATTAAAACATAGTTAAAATACAACTATAAAACCATACCATTATTCTTGTTGTTGTTGTTGTTGTTGTTGTTAATTTATTTATTACCCAACTCTTCTTTCAGCTCAAGGCAGGGCCCAACAAGGTCAGATGCTTTGATAAACGCACATATTAAAACATAGTTAAAATGCAAACATAAAATCATACACAGTGGAAATAAAGGTAAAGGTTTCTCCTTGACATTAAGTCTGGTCGAGTCCGACTCTGGGGGGGTGGTGCTCATCTCAGTTTCTAAGCCGAAGAGCCAGTGTTATCTGTAGACACCTCCAAGGTCATGTGGCCAGCATGACTGCATGGAGCGCCGTTACCTTCCCGCCAGAGCAGTACCTATTGATCTACTCACATTTGCATGTTTTGGAACAGCTAGGTTGGCAGAAGGTGGGGCTAACTGTGGGAGCTCACCCCATTCCCCGGATTTGAACTGCTGACCTTTCTTGTCAGTAAGGATGGGGAAATCAATGGCTGCAAAGTGCATTAAATTATTGAAGGCTTCCATTTTCACATTATAGAGACTCCAAGTGAACATAGTTTTATTTTAGGACCTTGACAGGCTTTTTAAATACAGTATTTATATATTCAGCAGCTCAGCAGTTTATCCCATTGCACCACCATGAGCTCTTATACAGTGAAATCTCTGCATTAAATGTAATAATAATAATAATAATAATAATAATAATAATATAATTTTTATTATCTGCCTCTCTTTTTGGCTCGAAGCGGGGCACAACATAGATACATCAATAAAAACACATATTAAAACATAGTTAAAATACAACTATAAAATATATATTAAATATTATTAATATTATTATTATTTACTGGTATGTATTTATTGCCAGCCTCTTCTTTCAGCTTGAGGCAAGGCACAACATAGTCAGATAGAGAGATAACAGCACATGTCTTACTCAACTGTTGAGTATGCCTGCCCTGTTTGTCACAAGTCTGTTCACACGAAGCAGGTGAAAATAGCACTGAACAAAACATGTAGAATAATCACAGGATGTCTCAAACCTAAACCTGTTGATAAACTCTACAAGCTAGCTGGCATTGCCCCCCCCCCCCATGTGTGACGGGAAATTGCTGCTAACTGTGAGAGAAATTAGGTTGAACACTGTGAAAGCCACCCACTGTATGGCTACCAGCCTCCTCCCAGGAGATTCAAATCAAGGAAAAGCTTCATGAGAACCACCACTCCTCTTAGTGTTCACTCAGAAACAGGAAGACTGTCCCTCTGTCCCTCTGGGCAACTAAACCAGGAAATCCCAATCGGATGCTTCCCCCACCCCTCCAAGGATCTTCCTCCAGGGGCACTCCAAGAATGGGCAACTTGAAAGTCCCTGAACACGCTCAGAAGTGGTATTGGGAGATCAAAAGACAACCTGGCAAAATGGCACTACCTAGAAGAATCCTCCATCTTGTGCAACTGTGGAGTAGAACAAACAACTCTGCATCTGCATGCTTGCCCACAATGCCCTGCCTCATGCCCAGAGGAAGAATGCTTAAAGCTACAGACAGTGCAGTTGCTGTGGACTGTTTTTGGTCAAAAATTATTTAGCCGCTTGTACTCCTTCTATTTTTTAAATCAGTTTTATGCTTATTTATGCAATGCTTTTATTTATTTATTATTTTATTATTTATTTGCAGTATTTATATTCCACAGGAGATTCAGGGCGGATTGCAATGCACATATACATGGCAAACATTCAATGCCATTAGACATACAACATATATAGACAGACACAACATTTCAGCTTTCCGGCTTCATGAGAGTATGCTTGATTCTAGTCATAGGGGGAGCTGCCGCTTCACCATCCACTTTCTGACACTGAGTCCTTGATGGAGTACTTCCTAATTCTTCTGCACACTGCTGGAAGGTTTTATGGTGTTGTAAATTAGTTAAATTAGCCTCCCCGCATAAAGCGGTACCTAAATTCCCTACTTGGCAGGTGCAACTTTCTTTCTGGCTGCAGAGGTCAACAGCAAGCTACACTATTAATGGTTGGGAGCTCACTTCGACCCGGGCTGGCTTCAAACTCATGATCTCTTCGTCAGTAGTGATTTAATGCAGCTGGCTACTAACTAGCTGTTGTCACATCCCCGCACAAAATAATAAAAGTACATATTAACACATAACTATACTACAAACATACACATATTAAAATACACGAGACAAAGGTTGAAGCACAATGAACATAGAGTGTGATTTTCAAATAAATCAGTTAGAGGGTTTGCTCCAAGTTTTAAAAACAGCATCTGCAGCCACAGTCCTAGTGCCTTGCTTCTTGGCAGGGGGTTGGACTGGATGGCCCATGAGGTCTCTTCCAACTCTATGATTCTGTGTATTTCTTTATTCCATTTTTCCAAAAACCTGGAGTCAAGGCACCTTGCTATCAGGTGCTTTCTATCAATTCAATTTGGGCAACATTTCCTTCTAGGAAAGTATATCTGGGGCAAGAAATCCTATGCAGTTGTGAAGGGATCACAAAGAAGACCCCAAGCATTTCAAATAAGGGATATTCAAGCAGCGTAATAGTAATCTATTACCCCTAAGAACTCATTCTCAATAACACCCAAACTGACTTTTTTACTAAGGACAAACACAGGTAATATACTAAAAAGGACTAATTGGGACCTTTTTCACAACTATGACAATAATAGTAGAGATGAAAGATAAATGTAGAATTAAAATTTAAACCAGGACTACAAAGTTATATAGAGAAGAAACCAAGAAAATGGAATGGAAGTCAAGGTTTTCCTATTTTTCTCTCTCTTTTTTCTCTTTCTTTTTTACCCTCACTTTTCTTTTTTCTTTATTTCCTACTTTCCTATCTTTATAATATTCCCCCACTTTCCATGTAATTATATATACTGTATATACTTGAGTATAAGCCTAGTTTTTTAGCCCTTTTCTTAGGCTGAAAAAGTCCCCCTCGGCTTATATTAGAGTCAAGGTTATTTATTATTTTATTCTGTTGTTGTTGTTATTGTTGTTATTATTATTATTATTATTATTATTATTATTATTATTCATTTCATTTATTATTTTATTCTATTTATTATTATTACACTTATCATTTTACTCTATTATTATACATTTATTTTACTGTATAATTTTTGTTATTGCTACATTCATTATTTTACTCTTTTTATTGTTGTTATTATTACATTTATTATGTTACTCTCTTTATTATAATTGGAAGGTTACATAAGCACATTTACATTGAAGAAGGTAAATAATCATTTAATCAGAGTTGGACAGTCTTATCTTAAATTACAATTTTTGTAAATATTCAAAAATATACAACCTACTGATTCCTCAATTAATGTAATTTAATTGGTATCTATTTTCATTTTGCAATGTACCCATAGCAGGTGCATCTCCCACCCTCGGCTTATCCGTCAATCCGTTTTCTCAGTTTTTTGTGGTAAATTTATTTATTTATTATTATTATTATTATTAAACTTTATTTGTACCCCGCTAGCATCTCCCAAGGGACTCGATGCAGCTTACAAAGGCCAAGGCCTCAACACAACAACAGCAAAACAATACAACTCAAAGCAAATTAAAAAATTAAGCAATAACAAACATTCATAGAATCATAGAATC